TAGTCAGAATCTTGGAGAGCCATCTCATCTCTGACTCATCCATTGAATCATTCCCAAACACCACTTCCTACAGCACAAAACTGTTCCTTTGCCATCCAAGTACTGACTCTGACCAAACTTGTTTAGCATGTATCTGACAGGATCTCACCATGAGGTGCTATTGCTGCATGCTAAGCTAAGAAACAAGGAATACATTACCAACTTGACTTTCAGTTTGAGAGTCCCATGTTACATCGATCAATGAAATAAACATTTCCATGAAATTTAAAAACGTTTTTCATGAAATGCCTAAAGTTCTATAAATATTTTTTTTAATAACCATTAACTTCCTTTTCAAATATTTCTTAAAAAGATGAAGAAAATATGCTGAGATGAAACAGCCAGACACTGAAATTCATGGGATTTTGTTGTATCACATAGAACTGTTCTTTAAAATTTTTGTCTGCATCAAACATTTCTGATAAAAATCAGCCTCGAGGACCTACGCTTTGTTATGCTCCATGCACACAAGCACCATGTACTGGCAGTCTTTTTCACAATTACATGACCATTTGTCGTGATACGGAAAAATATCTTGTAGCTTTGCGGAATTGGAGGACTTTGGCTTCAATACTAACTTCTCTTCCTCTGAGATACAAATTACAGAAGCAAAATTAAATCCAGAGCATAGGTTCTCGGTCTCATTTAATCTTCTGACTACCAGTAAATGTCAGCTGTTATATACTTCCTTCTGGGTTAAATGGCAGGGTAACAAGGCCAGCTGCCAAGGAAATCAGCTTAATCACTACTGTTAAGGGAACCAGGGCTAGTTAGTTTTCTTTCCAAGGATCAAGTTGGTGTGGAGAGCTGTCACTCCAGAAGTGTTCCCCATGAATCCAAAAAGGCAGTACAGGCAACAACTAAACCCACAAACTGTGCCATATAAAGTCCAGTCTCCGATACGTTTAGTACACACTATATTACCTAGTTTCCTTTTTTGATGCAGTCAAACAAACTCCATTTTAAAGCCCCGGCCCACTGTGGCTTTGATGATTAACAGATTACAAAAAAGATTTCACTTCAGGACCCTGAAGTTTTTGTTGATTTTAAGTTATTTCCCATCTTTCTATACCCATAGCATGGTTAGGCTGCATAATTACATTTTTTTTTCTTTTCTTCTATATTAAACTTGAGCAGGAAACAAGTTCATTTAACGGAGAACCACTTATACTAACAAAAAGCTTCTAATCAGTTCTTTTTTTCCCCCCTGATAATTTCAGAGATTCAAACCCTTGCTTTAGTGACATTAATGAAGTGCATTCCAGCTATCAAACATGCCAGATAAAGAAAAAGAGAATCAGAATAATAAACACCTCCACTTTTGTTTGAAAAAATGATTATTTTTACCCCTTCATTGCTCAGAATATGAACCAGCAGACCATTTCCGCATCCTAGGTCTACAAAAGACTGTTTCTTAGACAACCCTTTTTCTGCTCTCTCTTCTTCCCAAAGGATCTAAGCAAAGACAAAAATTAAAACAAATTTTAATCTCTCAGAGCATTTTCTCAATGACTAAAGTATTTGTGGCCCATTCCTGCAACTCTTATTCAAATGAGTAGAGATATGGACTTCAATGGATCCTCTCCTGTGAGTAAGGACTACTCACATGAATAAGGGTTTGCAAGTGGGAGCGCATAATACATTTTCAAGAAAAAAAGGTTAAATGGGAGGTTGCATAAGCTAACAATAAAAGTTAATGCCCAGGTGCACTGATGGAGAGGAAGAATGGTTTTAAGTGATTAAGGCACTAGCGCTAGGAGATCTGGGTTTAATGCCCTGCTCTTCCACTGACTTCCTGTGTAACATTGGACAAGTCACTTAGTGCTTCAGTTCCCCATCTGTAAAATGTAACTACCTCACAGGGCTGTTGTGAGCATAAATAACATTAAAGAGCATGAGGTGCTGAGATACTATGGCAAGGGGGCCCATGTAAATACTTTAGACAGAAATAACACAACTGTGGGATCACACAACAGGTGATCAAAAATCTTGATTTGTGCCACATATATCAACAAAAATGGCCATCTTCCAACCCCTCAGCTAGTGCACCTACCATTTTCCTCCCTTTTCCACAAGGGTATTTTTTGTGTCTTTCCTGATGCCCTTTAAAGCACGCAATGGGAAGTAGTGAAAGTAGATCATTTGTGATTCAGACGCAATCTGCCCTACTGATCAATTTTCCCCACAGATGGGGGGCAAAAAAGTCTGAATGATAGTACTGTATTACTACTTAGACCTTACTTTATTGCTTTTACCCATAGATTTCTAAGATGCTACCTTTCATGAGTGTGGAGACTGAGGTACAAGCAGGCAAAGTAACTTGGTCACAGTCACACAGCAGTCCAGTGGCAGTGCTGGGGGTAGAATCCAATGATTCCCAAATGGTGCCTTACCCACTGGGCCATGCTGCCTTCAATGGAGGACTGCCTTGACAGGGGAATTCTGTGCTTCTTCTAAGTTGTGTAGTTGAGGAGAGTGGCTACCCTGAGGCACTCACAAGCCCTATGCTAATGGAGTGAAGCTTCTGCACAGCTTAGGAGAGAGAATGGGAAACCTCTTCTCCTCTACCTACTTTCTTTAACATAAACCACACTTCGACTTGTTCTGTCCCTCATGCAACCGCACACCTCTGCGAACCGTGCAGTCTGCTGGGCAGCTCCTACGCCTCACAGAAGTGGAATCCTTCTGTCACAATGCAAATAAATCATATGCACTGATTGTATATTATTTTCATACAGTGGGGACATTGCTAGAATTATTTAAGAACACTAAATGAAAGATGTCGAACACGCTCCTCGTTTACTAGCGTTGCTACAGGATACTGAGTTTGCTGCAGTACTCAGTGCAGCTCAGCCACGTAAATCAGAGCTGGCCTTGTCACATAACATAGGTCTTTATTCGCCATATAGCACACGGGAGCTTACTTAGAAAGCACTTTTCATTGGATGATCTCAGAGCAATCAATATATAAACATAAATGACGTATTGTCTAATGCCTTAAGGATAAATGTTTCTTTTTGGGCCAATATAGTAAGGACACGTCCTGCCCTGATTAGCTTAACTACCCAAATGAGATAGAACAGGACTAGGGATGATAAAAGTGGCTCAAGGAGGACAAGGGTTACAAGAGTGACAGATCAGGAGAGTGAAGCAAGTGGTGAAGGAGGAGAGCAAGGTCATGTGGCAAACAAGGTTAGGGAGGCTCTTCCAGTCACGGGGTGGGGGGATAGCATGACAAAGGCATAAAGATTCTCGTGGGAGAAAGAGAGAACGGTCATGATCCTGCAAAGCACCTAGTACTTCCTATGAAGTTCTGAGCACCCTCCATATTCACATCTAAGCAAACAGAAGTTGAGAGTACTCAGCACCATCCAGGATTGGACTCCAAGGGACCATTAACATGAGATGTGCCTATACTTTGCAAGCTTAAGTAGGAGCTGAGTGGTTAAAGCAGGAGAGTAGCAACAGGTAAGTATTAATACCCATTTTACAGGTGGTCACACAGAGAATCAGTGGCAGAGCTGGAAACTACGATCCTAGACTCTGCATAATACATTGGCTTTGTGCATCTGCATGTGATGCCGCTCTTTACTTGATGGACAACAGAATGCGACCTACTACTAGTGACAGCTACGGGATAACTCTTTTAGCTCAAGTGAGAGAGGCCTGAGTTGACTGAGTCAAAGGATCACGATTCTAGTCCCAACTGCACAGGCAATTCTTCTGATAATTGTTTGTTGCCTGCAGGACATGGATTTTGTTATAGGCGCCTATTCTATGACTCTAAGTACCAGATAGACTCTCTCTCATAATCAGATGTTACAACAGGCACAATCAACTGAGTAGGATTGTTTATGCTTACAAGAAACAAAAATATCAGGAACCCTTTGAACACAGAATTGATGTCTGTGCCTTTGATTGTTGCTAAATTGTTAGTTTCATGGATATTCACTTCATTCCCTCCCACAAGTTGTGATTTTGGTGCATTCCAGCAAAATACCAGCTTGTGTTTACATTTTCCACTTTACAGATCACGATATTAAGCATGTTGGCACTGCCGCACAGTTCCTGTGAGGTGCCAATCATCTCCTACACAGATCTAGCCCCTCCCATGTGCATCAATCCATTTTATAACATATACCAAATGTGCCTAGAGAGCATGTCAACTCAATGTGACCCCAGAGCAAAAAGAAGTTCTATGGGTTTCCGTTCAGTTTGGTTGTCAGTGGATGGCAAAGTCCATGAGAAGAGATAAAGGTTGACAATATTCTTTTTAAAACATCTCTTTAACCTATTTACAAATGGCTCAGTAGTGTACACCATAATTCTGATATTTTAAAATTCTGCAAGGATGGATAGAAATATTGCTTAATAATAGGTTAATGAGTAGCAGTGACATTCTGTATCCTTTTGTTCACCCCTTTTACAAGACTATGATAAATTTTGTACAAAGTATGCTTTGCGAGGTATCATTTGAAAACTCATAATTTGCTGATCATTATTGTCCCAATAAAATATTTGTGGCAACACTGTCTGTAAAGTTATAAGATTCTACTGTATGACATTACTGAGATATGTTCCAAGTTTAGAAAAGCAGGCACAAACTAGTTCCTCGGAAACAAAAGGAAAACAGACAACTCGCCCAGGTGTCAACAAAATGGACTATCGATCATCTGGTTATGTGGGCATTCTTTGGCAGGAAAAAGGGCATGAGTGAGAAATTTACATGTTGCAAAGGAACAGCTGAAGGTTCCATCCTAGATTTTGTGTCCTGACCCTCATCTGGAAGTGATTTTCAAAGGGAAAAGAGAACTGTAAGAAAGGGCAATAGATGCCCCAAAATTATTCCTCCCTCTCTCTCTATCCACAGCAGTCACAATACCTGAAGAAAAGAAACATCTCTGAACTGGGGAAGGGGTCCTGGGTGAAAGGATTCCAGCCAGCAAGACTGCTAAAGTATGTGCTGAGAGAGACCTTTTGCTTTGTATTCACTTAGCTTGTTAAGTTAGGTATTATTGCATTTTACCTTATTTCTTTGTAACCAATTCTGACTCTTATGCCCCATTACTTGTAATCATTTAATGTCTTTCTTTCTGTAGGTAATAAACTTGTTTCATTGTTTTATCCATACCAGTGTATTTGAACTAAAATGTTTGGGAGACTCCATTTGAGATAACAAGATTTGTGAATATCATTTTCTATTAATAAAATGATGGACTTTCTATGAGCTTATATTGTCCAGAAGGAAAGATCTGGGCAGTATAACATGCACATTTCTGGGGACAAGTTTGGGACTAGGAATTTGCTGGTGTTGCTCTGCAGTATAATTCAGGAGTGGCTGGCTATAGCCACTATACAGCTGGGAATAATTTACATGCTGGAAGCTGCCTATGAGCAGAACAGGAGTGGTTGCTCTCACAGCAAACCAGTGTAAAAGGCACCCCAGGTTGGAGAATTGAGGGGACACAACTGTTCGACAATCCAAATTGTACCCTGGGTAATGTCACAGTAGCTTTGGTAACCAATAACTGAATCATTTTAACAATTGTTATTAAAAGAATTACTGTCACTTCATAGGACATACATTATCTCAAGGAACACAATAGGTTAAACTTACAGCCATTGTCACAAAGTACATTTAAAAACAAAAAATTCTTAGACGTGATGATCTTACCCCTAAAGAATGTGACTGTTTCCCCCTAATATTGGTATCCATCTACAAATGTTATCTATGAAAATAAAATTGTAAGCAATAGTATTGGATTATAAAGCACTGTCCATATGGGAGTATCTTCACTACACTGCTCTACAGCCAAAATGCTTCTGAAATAAATGTAGTCAAACTTTACTAATTCTGGGTCACTGAGAACGAAAATGATGCTTAAAATTGTTGATTGGCTCTAGTTTTCAAGATATGCTATTGGGTCAATATATATGACCCTTGACTTGGGAATGGCGGAGGATAAGTGAGTTATAAAGGGAAGGGAGCTCAATTTAAATCAGAAATGACTAAAAATACATCTTTGACTGGATCTATGAATAAATCTATGACTGGGTTTGGACAGTACTTGCTTTTTAGGTCTAAAACAATGAATGATGCAATCTGAAGCTGGTATTGCGTCATACATGATATGAATTGCATCATGTTATTCCTAGAAGTCATGGATGATGCAATCATAAC